GCTTGGTAGCCCTTTTCCTGAAGACGTCTGAGCGTGGTGACTCTTGATGCACTGACTCCAGCTTCAGTCCACTCCTTGTGAATCTCTCCCAAGTGTTTGAATCGGCTTTGCTTGACAGTATTCTCAAGCTTGCGGTCATCCTTGTTGCTTGTGCACCTTTTCCTACCCAATTTCTTCCTTCCAGTCAACTTTGCATTTAATATGCTTTGATACAGCACTCTGTGAACAGCCACCCCTTCAGTAATGACCTTCTGTGACTTACCCTCTTTGTAGAGGGTGTCAATGACTGTCTTCTGGACCATTGCCAAGTCAGCAGTCTTCCCCATTATTGTGGTTTCAAAGAACAAGAGATACCCAGAATTTATACTGTAGGGATGGTCATTTAATGAAACTCAAATGTAAATATTCTAATATTTTGAGATACTGGATTTTTGACTTTCATGAGCTGTAAGCTCAAATCATCAAAATTAAAACAAAAAAAAAACTTTTGAAATGTTTTACTTTACATGTTAGTAATCTGAAATATATGAAAGTTTAACTTTTTGAAATGTTAGAAAAAAAGAACTTTTCCCCCATATTCAAATTTTTTGAGATGCACCTGTAATTTATAATTTTCAAGGTCAGCTCAATATCGTAATTTGGCAAAGCAAATAGGGATTATTTTTGTTAGATCACAAAGGACCACAAAACAAAATAGTATGGGAAGAAAAACGCACTAAATTTGGCTGTTATTATTAAATGAAAAAAAAAATATTTTGGCAAGAAAGGCAAACTCCAGCATATCATGGAATGATAATATTAATAATAATAATAACAAAAAGCTCACAGAAAATAAAGCATACATTGACTACAATGTAATCAGATATCATTATTTTGTTTCCTTTGTTTTTGATAACAGCAGCCACTCTCGTAGGCACTGACTCACTTTTGGCTAACTGCAAATTGGAAAGAGTTTAAATTGGAAAAAGTTCTAAACCAGTCTGCTGTTGATCATTTTTAAATTCATGAGCATGGGAGAAGATTGAAAATAAATACCATATTGATTCCGTTGAGAAGACTACACTTTTAAAGACATCTTTCAACATCTTTGTGTTGTACGCACTACGCAGACGCATATACAAAAGCATTATTTCTTAATGCTTACCAATAAAATGTACTTAAAATGTTTTCAACTTCACCTTTGTAAGGGGTGGTGTTTTTAGACTTTTGAAAGTGCAAGAGGTAAAGGAAACCACAGTGAAAATGTTTTAAAATGTGGTTTCTTGTTTTTGTAACAATCAGATTTTTTTTCCTTTTTAAATATTTAAGATTTAACTTACTTTTTTTGGGCTGCAGAAGCACTGGATTTCTATAGACACATTTCTCATGGTCTGGCAATCATCTGTGATAATTTTTTTTTTGTGTTTTTTTTTTTAATCCGGTCTCCAAACATTGCCTACTGTATAGACGCTTACTCAAGACGGTTGGAAATGCATCTCAATTGGCACCTCAAGCTGCATTATAAAATAAAAGTGTGCAAAGCTGTTATCAACTTGGCTATTCTAAATGATCCAAAAGAACTAATAGCTTTGGTTAAATAGATTTTGACGACAGATTAACACAGATAAATTAATATTTTGCACTCTCCTTTTTTAATCCAAAACTAGAAATGGCATTACCAAATTAAAAAGATATTGTTCATGAAGCCTTTGGATTAAATGCGTAATTGTGGTTTCATAAGACAAAGCTTGGCAGATATCTTGCTCTTTTTTTACTTCTGTAATGTGTAGAAAACAATTTGAACTTAAACTAGTACTGTATATTGCATATTAAAATCCAAGCAATGAAACAGTCAAATTAGAATACAGATGTTTATTTCACATTTGTAACATCACAGTACAAACAAAAACTTTTCTGCTATGAATCCTTACAGTACTTTTCGGCACTGAATTTTCATGTTCTGACTTAGCAATAAATATAGAACTTTTTCCTTCCAAATAACACCGAATTGGGAAGGAAAGATGAAAACCTTTTGACAATTGTTAATACCATGGTTACATGGTTATGGTGTGTTGGAATAGGGTTAAAACTAAACTCTGTAAGACAGTAGCTCTTCAAGTGCAGGGTTGGCAAACCCCTGGGCATTCAAAGTCTGACAGATGTGAACACAGACGTTAAATGGCGTGACTGACTGGCAAACACTTGACTGGTTAAATATCTTTAGAGTTCATTTTTCCTGCTTTTCCCCAAACGCTAAAACAAGTTTCTGGTAAATTCATTACATGAGAAAAATAAAAAAACATGGGTGAAATACAAAAACATGCAATTAAATTAGATCCTTTACAATGTAACTCACACAGTGGCTCTTACCTGCAGACCAAGAAATGCTTCCAAGCCATTGTACCAGTTTAATACTGGTAACTGAGAAATATCAATCAAGCATATCACAGACAAATGTGTGGTGCATTTTAAATCCAACTTCTGGAAAGATCATTCATGCAACTAAGGTTATCAAGCAAAAATGTGTAATTTAACAGTTAAAAATATTAAGGAGTGATTACGGCTTTATTTATTTTTTAACTATAAATGACTTTTAATGGTGTTAAAACTGAATACCTTTATGAACATTCCAGAACAAACTTGTTATTGACAGAGCGAGTGTATCTGCAACGTCATTATGGCTTTATCAAGAAAACCAACCTGCCTGAAGGCTCCACTTCTCAGGAAACACACTCACACAAAAACAAAATCAAGAAGAAAAAAAAATCAAATTAAGTATGTTTTATTACAATACATATAGCAAAAAAAACAAAAAAAAAAACAGACACATTTACCCTTGTGCTATTTAACCCTTTAACCATTAAAAATGTTAAGGAGTGATTACAGCTTTACTCTTTACTATAAATTACTTTCAATAGTGTTAACACGAAATACCTTTATGAACATTCCAGAACAAACTTAGTACAGAGTGAGTGTATTTGTAACGTCATTATGGCTTTATCAAGAAAACCAACCTGCCTGAAGGCTCCACTTCTCAGGAAACACACTCACACAAAAACAAAATCAAGAAGAAAAAAAAATCAAATTAAGTATGTTTTATTACAATACATATAGCAAAAAAAAATTAAAAAAAACAGACACATTTACCCTTGTGCTATTTAACCCTGAATAAATGGATGCAAACAGTTAAAAGAAAAACAACAACAACATGACAACAGTGATCTGAAGCCCTCACCAAGCTGATGTTGGGGACGTAAAGTCCAACAGCACAGTATGGTGCTGTGAGGGCTTCACTACTAAGATAAAAGCAGAAATCTTACTGGGAACTTGCCTTGAGTATGGAGATACTGTTAGGCCAGCGGCTTCAATATATTATGAACCTTTGTCTAATATACTGTACTTGTACAACCTGAATGAAACACAATAGGAAGAAAAGCAATACATGTATCAACTGTAACATTGATGCTGCTGTTATCTTCTTTGTCTTTATTTAAGGGCTGAATCCAAAACTCTTGCGTGATATTACATATCTCAAATGTCCAGTATGCAGATTTTCTTCAGCAGTGGGTTTAGAGCTCATTGGTTTGGCTACATTAAAAGCACAAGATGAGAAAAGGTTTAACCTCCAAACCTAGTGGGACGACAGCGTTGTTTCAGTATCGGCTGCCTGGAGACATTACAGGTGGCCTTATGCCCATGGGAGGTCCAGGTGGGCCAGCTTGGTAAGGGGGCACCATTGGGGCACTCAGTCCATAAGGAGGCATGCCACCACCCATATAACCAGGCATGCCCTGTGGAGGACCACCATACTGACCTGAAAGCAAAAATACATATAGTGACTAAACACCTAACCTTGCCTAAGCAGTTAGGCCTACCATACTTAATGATTTAAAATACCTTTATTTTAATATATGTCAACATGTGATTATGGCATTCAGTGATGATCTATAAAACAGACAGTTCCGGTCCTTGATTATGACTGGCAAATGACTGTAAAATACTCTTTAAACATACACCTCTGATTACATCTGTATAACTAAGCCACTGCATGTCGGCGCCGATAGCCTAGTAGTTAATGCTAATGTTCCCTCCTGGTGGAATGACCTGCCCAACTCAATCTGAGCAGCTGAGTCCTTAGCCATCTTCAAAAAACGACTAAAATCACAACTCAAGCACTTTCTATTCTATTTTAATTCTACTTTATCTATTTATCTTCTTTTTTATAAAAAAAAAAAAAAACTAGCTATTTTTTTTTCTATTCTATCTACTTGTTTTTCTTTGTGTGTGTGTATGTATATATATATATATATATATATATATATATATGCAAGTGTATTTCTTGTCTCAGTGATTAGCGCAGTTGTTGTTGCTAGGAAACCCTTGTTTTGTTTACTGTGTTGAGATGTGCTGAAGTTGCGTTTGGTCTCATACTGTATCGCATACCTTGTCAGTGTCGTGCACTTGCTTATCCCTTTGTTGTGATGAACAGTAAAGTGTGCTCAGCTGAATTCAAATTCCGTTTTGTAAAATGGGTATAAAAAAAAAAGGATAGTACACCGCGGCAACCCTCGTGTGAAGGCCGAAGAGTGTAAAGACCATCGACTCTACCGTGCGACTCCACAGTGCAGGGACACAGACAAGGGACATAAGCAGGGCCTAAAATTAACTTTTTGCCACACCTGCCAATTGACGGTGACATAAAATTTACCGTCCAAAAAGATTTTTTATTTTAAAAAATACCTTATTTACACACGACACTGCTCCACTGATCATGTACTGATTACTTTACTGCACACCTCGGATCACTTCCTTCTCACTCTTAACCTCAACATGGTTCCTGACTCAACACAGCCCTCCACATGTCATCTTTCGACGTAACCTACGCTCACTCTCACCCTCCTGGCTATCTGCTATGGTTTCATCTTCGCTTCCTCCCCCTAAACAGTTAGCATCTCTTGATACTAACAGTGCTACTGATACTTTCTGCTCCACACTTACATCTTGTTTAGACATTGTCTGCCCCTTGTCTTCTGCCCCTTGGCAATCTGATGTTCTCTGCAAACATCGTTCTAAGTTCAGGGCTGCTGAAAGGGTGTGGCGCAAATCAAAAAATACTACTGACCTTAATGTGTATCAGTCACTCCTCTCTTCCTTTGCTGCTAATAGGGCCTTTCGCACCGCGGGAACCTTTTCATAGTACCAGAACTAATTGTGGAACTACCCACTTTTTGGCGTTTTCGCACCGCCGGAACTGGGTGCGATTTTAGTACCGGACTGCCTTTTTCGAGAACCAAATTAGCTCCTACTCCGGAGCAGGGTCTAACCAGCACAACTGGTACTAATCGTGACGTAAGTAGACATTGAATGGCCAAACGAGTACGAAAACACCCTCACCCGCCATGATTTAAACCGCCGTGTAAACATACTGTAAACATTGTGTCAGCTTATTTCGCAAGTATGGAGAACAGCGATAGATGGACGGATGCTGAAGTGCAGGCACTTTTGAACATTTACGCAACGGAGGAAATCCAGTTGGAATAAGGAATAAGGAACAAAACGTCCTCCATCCTCCTGTTGTTAACGTTGTTTTTCTTTGTT